TCAATAAATAAATAAAGGGAAAGAAAGGGTAGAGTAATGGAAGATCGTGTGAGATGGATGATATGAAATCAAATTTATGTTATGTGTTTGCGGCATTGAATCGGCGCTTTGGATTTGAGATTGGAAGAAGTTTAGTTCAAAATTTGTACTAAATTTTACTTAAAAAAAAAAAAAAAAAAATTTGTACTAAATTTTCTCTAATTCCAAATCTAAGGCATTAATTTGATGTTTCCAAACATAACATGGGGAAATTGAAGTTGATATCTAAAAGGTGGTTGTGCAAGGGCTGTTGTTTCTGCTCTTCGGGCCTGTTTGATACGCGTTTTGTTTTTGGTATTTTGTTTTAACCCGAAACATTTGTTTTTAGTGTTTTGTTTTAACTCAAAACAAACAAGTATTTTCGTTATAAAGTGTTTTAAATAGTAATCGAAAACATGTTCGGGTGTTTATTTGTTATACGATTTTTGGAAGACAAAATATAAAAACATATTTGGTAAAAAAACATTGCAAGTTAAAAATATATAATAGTTAATTTAAAATTGTCATTTAAAAAAAAAAAAAAAAAAACTTATTGTTCATTGTTACATTATCAAACGTTTCCGTGCGGAAACGTATAAAAATATCAAATTGGTGTGTCGATTTTTGACTACTATTCATTAAACGTTTGAGCATTGTGCAAAATAAAATACTGTATTTTTTACAAAACACATTTTTTTCACTGTTAAGTGCTAGAGTACCCGACAAAAACTGAAACACCGAAAACAAAATGCTTACCAAATAGGCTATTCATTTAGCCATTTAGGACTTGAAATGGAGTGAGTTTGACCAGAAATTTGACCCAAGTCCATTTTTTTTTTAAGGGTTTTAATTTTAATTTTGAATCCAAAAAAACACTTAATATGGATGAATTCGGATCAATTATGAATCTTAGATCGAATTTTACTCCAGTTAAATTATATGAATTGAATATGGATTACGTCCATGAGATCTTATTGAAATCCGGATATAAACCCCTTAACGGGCCATCGTGGACATTGTCGTTTAACCCAAACATGCCCAGCCCACGAGGAAATTACATACTTTTGGTCTATTGTAATCTTCATCTTCTTATTTTGGGTCGGGTCAAATTCTGAACTCGACGACAGTCCAGTTGTCCTAGACTGATCTATCCTTTCGGGGTTCATTTAATAAATTTCTAAAAGTCAAAGGACATCTTCACAAATTCGAATTCTTTGTTCCCCACCGCAAAACCCTAATCCATCTCTTCATATAAAGGGCAGCTAAAGCAAGCTTTCGCCTTTCTCCTCCCAGCGTTCTCGAAGTCGATCGCAGCTCTCTCTTTCTCTATATCGTCATTCTCTCTCTACCAGGTCTCACCAGTTCGAAAACATGGTAAGTTCATATATAAATCCTGTATTTTGTACTGTCGATTTGTTTTGAAAGTAAATTGTTGTCTGAGATTGAATATATATATATATATATATATTTAAAATGTAAGTGTTACTAGATGTTTCTGTACTTGTTAGGTATTCAATCTGACTTTGACGATATACAACTATATGTAACAACGTTCAGATCAAACCTATTTGGGTTGTAATTTTTACCTCTGTTTGTGCATCTATTTTAATTTCTTATTACTCACCGCATCATCTGTGCGCTAATTTTATTATACGATTTATGGATTCATATACTTGTAAAGTTGTGATTCTAGGCATTATGTAACTGCATTTACGCATTCAATGGATATTTCTTTTTATTTTTTATTTTTTATTTCTAATGTATACTTGGGTGTGTGTGTGTGAAACTGTGCATTGGGTGTGTATATTTATAATGTATTATAAATATGTTATGTAGAAATTTCTAGTTTGGGGAAAAAATGTGAGCTGAAGCATGTGTTTATGGCCACAGTAATATTCTAAATTTGTTCCATTTTTGCAATAAGAACTGTGTTTGAGAATTTGGTCCCTGTGATAAGGGGAATATCTTGCCAGTATGTGTTTGTTGAAAAATATCTCATTTCCTTGTGCAAATCTGGCATATTTATTAATGTCATTCGCAATTGTACTTTTGGTAACTTTTTGGTTTCATCCAATGATTAACCATTAGGCATCTTAGCTCTCGCACAATCATATGAATTGAAAAGGAATTTAGCAACGGGCGTCTTGGGGTGCCTAACACTTTCCCCAAGCATAAATAAACCCCCAAATCCTATCTTTGGTTTTGGCTTCACTAAACTAAAGGTGCTAAGAACTACCACACGAAAAAGTCCAACAGTTGACGTACCTTCATTCTCATTATCTGGTCCAGTTTTCCTTACTAAGGGTTGACTTTCTGAACTTTGATGAACAAAAAGTAGCTTTGTGATTTGGGATTTTTATATTTATCACTGATTGTCAGTGTGGCTTTCGTTTATCAAGATTGTTGTTATTTATACTAGAAGAAAAAAAACTACCAAAGTTCTAATTGGACTAAGTTTTGAATTTAAACTTTTCCTGCTTTATATTACGTTCTGTCATATTCAATTTTTTTGTGGATGTATCATGAATTAGTCCAAGAGAAAGGCTAGGGAGCCAAAGGAAGAGAATGTGACACTTGGACCCAGTGTAAGAGATGGAGAGCATGTTTTTGGTGTGGCTCACATTTTTGCATCCTTCAATGACACATTCATTGTAAGTTAAAAAGTTTTTTTTATAATAATATTAATAATATTTTTGGTTAATATTTTATTAATTAGCATCTTTGAGGTTGGTAATGGGTGAGGTTTTCTGTTTAACATGCAGCATGTGACTGATTTGTCTGGACGAGAAACTCTTGTTCGCATTACTGGTAAGGGTTATTTTTTCCATTTAAGTTGAATGTGTGGTAATCTTCCTTTGATAGCATTGAAAATGGTGCCAAGTAGATTGTCCATTTATAGATGATTATGGTCCCTACGGATATCAATTTTGCTGAGTAGAATAAATAAGTATACCTTATTGCAAATTTTTATTATGTATATATTTATGCGAGCGAGACAAAATGATTTTCGCTAAGTTCTTTTATTGGTTACTACTTTCACGATGAATATATTCTGTTAGGAAACCTTTTTTTTTTTTTTTTTTTTACATTAAGAAAAAACATTCAATTATATGTTTGACAATCTACTTTCTATCTATTAAAAACACAGGTGGTATGAAGGTGAAAGCTGACAGGGACGAGTCTTCCCCATATGCAGCAATGCTTGCAGCTCAGGATGTTTCGCAAAGATGCAAGGTTGTCATCATTCTGTTTTGCAGCATATAATGATTATGGTTATTTGAAAATTTATTTTAGGTCCCTAATTTTTAATTACTTAGTTATGTTTTCATATTTCTTTTCTTTAATCAACTCCATTAGATTCCTTATCGCAGTCTCTTTTATATATTAGTGTTTTTTGTCTGAACAACTTGTTTGATTTTCTTTCTTTTCTTTCTTTTTGGCTGGTTTTTGAACTTCCAATTGATATTTCTTTAATCAGAATGAAATTTAATGTCTTGGTTCACTTCAAAGTAATACGAGTTTTTTGTAGGAACTTGGTATCACTGCCCTTCATATTAAGCTCCGTGCCACGGGTGGGAACAAGACAAAAACTCCAGGTCCAGGTGCTCAGTCTGCTCTCCGGGCCCTTGCTCGTTCAGGAATGAGAATTGGTCGCATAGGTAAAAGTTTCTATTCCTTCAGAGCTTCCCTATTGCTCCATTTTGAAGATCTCTTACGCTATTCTTCCACAAACAGTATAATAAAGAGTGCATATTCTTATTATGCTGTTGATTCTTAGGTTTCTATTGTGTTTTTTGTTGAATATTGCCAGCAATTAATTAGCTATAATGAGTTTTGACAACATCTAATTTTATGTTTCAGAGGACGTGACCCCAATTCCCACTGACAGCACTCGTAGAAAGGGTGGTAGGAGAGGGAGAAGGCTGTAAGCAAGCTTGTTCTTATCCAGGCGAACCATGTCGGTGTTGGCAGTTGTCGAATTCCCCATTTTTATTGGTGTTGCTTTGAGGTTAAGCTGAAGTTAGTTATAAAATTTTAAGATGTTGGCTTGTGACATTTTCTTTGCTAAAATATTTAGCCTCTAGTCTTCAAATTATTTACAGTTAATGTGGCAATTTTGTTGCAATTTATTTTTGAGGAAGTTTATGCTGCTACTATTTATTACTATCTGTGTTGTGGTTTTGGAGATGGTTCAATTCTTGTTTTCCATGAAAGTGAATTGTTCGTGAAGCTATTAACTGGCATGCTGCAGCCTTTCACTTTGGATTATAACTTGGGCGGGTCTTGTAATTTGGGTTATGAACGGGTTGGAGACGTCAAATATAATGTTACCATTTGAAATTGATACGAACGTCTTCGCTGTGTATATGAATATCACTTCCAGCCGGATCATAATATGAATATTTCTAGTTAGTCCTTTATATATATATATTATATGTACATCCGACACCCCAACGTCTTAGTTTTCAAACTTCATGGAGCGAATGTTTAGGTCTTGTTTCAATGCATTAGATGATTTTGTTTTTTTTTCTTTCCCTTGTTGGATGATTGTTTAACTTTGTTTTTGTAGCCCAGTCGTTGAGTTATTCCTTCTTGTCTTTGGGGACTCCGTATTGAGCTCTCGGCACCTCCAATTTTTAATTTGACTTTCTTGTACCCAAAAAAACAAAAAGAAAAACTCTCTTAAATATGCTGTAACTTGCCAATTTATCAAAATCAGATTTTTTTGTACTTGAAAAGGGAAAAAATCAATATAATTCTAACATCAAACAAGATCAATTGGGCTATTATCAAACATACAGCTCTCCTTCATTTAATAGAAATTCTAAGGCAAAAATAGTTATTTATATATTTATTTAAATGCAATTCCTAAAATCATTTAATTTTTAATGAGTGTTTATTATTTATTTATATATTTTATTTTTTCGATCGAAATATTGAGTCAAGCTTACCAGCTAAGCTATACCCGCCAACACCGTCATTTGCCAAACAAAACGTAAGCCACAACAACATTTGTTTGCTGAGTGAGATCTAATAGGAAGAGCGAAAGAGGTCGATCAAGAGGTCCTCAAAACCCTAGTCTCGATCGGAGGAGAGATGAGCGAAGGAACCGAGAAGAGCCGAGGGGTCAACACCGCCGGCTACGGCGGTGCTGAACAGCAGCCGCCGCCACCGCCACCGCCACCGCAGTATTACTACGGCACGTTTCAGGGCGTCGCCAATTATCCACCACCGCCACCACCTCAGCCGGTCATCGGATTCCCTCAGCCCATTACTCCCCACGGAGCTCCTCATCACTATCCTCACGGATATCAAAACGTTTCAGGTACACCATCTCTCTCTATATATCTGTGTATTTGTAACATTCATTTATATTAGAAACACAGAGACTTTTAATCAGACCATACATTCCCATTGACATGTTTCGTTTTTTCGTTGGGAATTGCTAATGAAATGTCCACTTTGTTGGAAGACCCTTTAAAGAAGGCTGTTTAATTGAATTTTGGTATTAGTACTTGGGGAAATGAATTTCCTGGCTCTGTTTGCTATAGCATGCTATGATTGAGCTAGTTTGTGTTTATATATATAAATAAAATAGACAATCTTATAGTGGTTTTGATTTGGCTATGAACTTCCCTTCCTTTGGCTCATGAACGCTACCTACGTGAACCCAAAATTATTTCTCATTATTGGGGCCGAGAAATGGCAATTGGTTGATCTCAGTTGGTTTGAGTGAATTTCGTGTGGGAGAGTAAGCACTCTGCCTTGTGACACAACTGTTGAAATGTGAAGTTATTCGTTCCTGTATTTAGCATAAGTTGGTCGATCCACTGTATGTATGGAATGAGTATTGGAAGTTTGTAAGAAATACATAGAAGTTTAATTCTTTTGAGTATAATGAGTTTCTTCAATCATCCATATATATTTGAAATGTGCCTGTTCCAAGAATTCTTCCCATTCTTTTAAACAGTTCTACTGTTTTGTGGGTAAATATTTGGATTTTTTGTTGTTTTTAGATTGTGAAGTATTTGTAGTTTCTGTCTTGCCTAAAATTCTTGTAGAATACTTTAGTTTCTATAATATATCAATGAATGGGAATTTTCATTGCCAATTTCTAATTGAAAAGTATATGATCACTGTTTAGTACAATGTGTTTCAACGAAAAAAAAAAATTGTTGTTGACATATGTATATGTGTGCCATCATTGGTGCCCGTACTTCAGTTATACAATATTAATCTGTTCTATATTTTGCTTCCCTTTTGGGTAGGAATGCGGTAAGGATTTGAATGCATTTGATAATCCTGACTTATTAGTCTCCTCTCTAAATAGGTTGCTTCTTCTTTTAGATTCTGAACATATGATGGGTTTTTATAGATGTAGGCCAAGCCTTTGTAATATATTTTATCCTGAGAATCAATAGAATAAGGAGAAGCCCCAGAATAAGAGCCACCAAGCACTTGATACATGCAGAATGGACATGGCCATAATTATATGCTATGTTACACAGACTAGGCTACAGGTGTTGGGTGCGGGTGCGTGTCTAGAGGTCGGATTCATCAATCTATCAAATTATACGATATGGGAACTCGACTAAAAGTGTCCAATATTTAGATACGGGTACTTGGGCATGGTTGCTAATCAATGTATGCCTTCACTAAATATATAAGAACTAAATAAATGTGCAGTAAAACAATTAATTATATGATCTTAATATTTCGTTACTTTATTTTTAGTAAAATGAGAAAGAGTAAGACTAAACAAGAAAGCATACGGCTCAAGATTCTTTCATAATGTGTATTTCTACAAATATATGTGTATATATATTAAAAGTGAAGGAGTAGTACAGTTGTAACCCATCGTAAAGCAATATGTAATTATTTTTCTTAGAACACCAGAAGTCTCTTAAAGATCGGGCATTAAAAGACGCCTGTTATATATCTACAATATTTATTTAAAAGCGAAGGAGTAATACAGCTGTAACCCATCATACAACATTATATAATTAATTTCTTAAAAAAAGGCCTCCATCTCTTCACATACATTTAGCGTCATAGTGACGCGTATTATATATGTTCAATATTTAAAAGCGAAGGAGGAGTACTATTTTTTCTTTAAAAGGTCTCCATCGCTTCACATACACTTGGCAACATCTTGACCATTAAAGACGGGGCATTAAAAGATTCATGTTATATATCTAGAATATATATTAAAAGCGAAGTAGTGCAGCTGTAATCCATCATACAACAATATATAATTATTGTTCTCAAAAAAGTCTCCATCTCTACACATACGCGTGGCATCATCTTGACCATTAAAGACGGGGCATTAAAAGATTCATGTTATATATCTACAATTATTTATTAAAAGCGAAGGAGTAGTACAGCTGTAACCCATCATACAGCAATATATAATTATTTTTCTCAAAAAAAGTCTCCATCTCTCCACATACACGTGGCATCATTTTGACCTTTAAATACAGAGTATTAAAAGACACGTGCTATATATCTACAATTATTTTATTAAAAGCTAATGAGTAGTACTGCTATAACCCATCGTACAACATTATATAATTATTTTCCTTAAAAAAGTCTCGATCTCTCCACATACACGTGGCATCATATTGACCATTAAAGACTAGGCATTAAAAGATGCGTGGAAACACGCTCGGCCAGGCACAAAAAATTGGGCAAAGCCAGCGGATGTCCGTGATGTTAGTCTTTAACCTTTGAAAGATGCCATTTCTGACCAGACCACACCATTTGCAAACTAGTGAGCTTCCTAACATTGTGAATGGCAGCTGATTTATCAAATAAAACATGAAAAAATTTCCAATCCTTCAAAAGAATTAACCCACAGATTGTTTTGTGTGATTTTGTCATCAGCCGTGTTTGGTAGACACGATTATGAATCTGACTCATATCCGGTGTCGGTATCCGTGTTCGTGTCCGTGTCGTGTCGTGTCGTGTGAACAGAGAGACACTAGCCTACAGTAGCGAGTCCAGGCAACACTGATTATATGGCAATTTTCATATCAATGGGCATGCTCAGGGACCTTATGTCCTATCTAAATAGGTTGCCGTAAGTATTTATCAATCAAGATCTGATGATAGGATAAGATTATAATTTTTAAAGAGTTATTTTATCTTTGTCTGGAAACTCCTTACAATGAAAATTTTCAGTTTAGGAAGATTAATGAACCATAAGAGGGAGAATTTTTTAAGTACATTTGTGTATAAGGTGTGATAGTGATCTATTCAAGGATGGGTGCCCTCTTCCCCGGGTAGATTTGATGTCCACTCTTTGTTTTGTTGTCTTTCCGGCTTTTCAGGGGTTGGCTTTCCCTGGAAGGCAGTTTGGTGTTTGAAGGGTCCCCTCAAAGTGGCTTCTTTGTTTGTACAGCAGTTTGGGGCAAGATCTTGACTCGAGACTGAGAAGACAGTTTATTGTCAATTGGTGCTGCATGTGTAAAAGGGATGGGGAGTCAGTTGATTTCCTGCTTTTGCATTGCCTCGTGGCTCATGACTGTTGGTGTCTTACTTTTGGCTTGTTTGGTGTTCAGTGGGTTATGCCTAGGTTTGTGAGAGGATTGATTGATGCTTGGAGAGGTTGACTTGTTGGGCCCCACGCCTGTGATTTCTGGAGGGCGGCACCATTTGTGTTTGGTGGTGCATTTGGAAGGACTGGAATATATGATCCTTTGGTGGAGAGAAATCTTCTTTTGGGGCCTTAAAGTTTCTTATTATTAGCTCTCTTTTTTGTTGGGTTATGGGGAATATTTTTATATCTATAGAGGAGATAGTTGATTTGTTTTGGTTCTGTTTGCTCTCAGGACTTTCTTGGATTTGGCCGGTGTGTAGTTTCGGGATGCATTCCCCTTTTGAATGCTTTCTAATAAATATATATATATATTTGATAAGAAATGCTCTCTAATACATATTTACTTGTGAACACAAAAAAATTCATTATAATTTTCTTAAAAAAACCTTACTTTGGGATGACATGGAGTCTATTGACTTTGGGATGGCATGAAGTTGTCCATGATTTAATTTGAGTCGTTGCTTTTTCTTTGACTTTAAAGTAAAAGATGTACCTATCTTATTTACCTGAGTTGTGAAACATGACAACTTTCTTAGTTATGGTTTACCCTCACATGTTTATGCATATGTACATGTATATGCATGTGTATGGTATGCATGGTTCGGCGAACAGTCCGGTTCGCAATGGAAAATTGAGGGACTGATTCCAGGACTTACCGATAGACCATGAGAACTGGCTGGTTCTCAAAGAACTGGTTGTTTTCTAATGCAAAATGGCTATTATGGCCAAGAACCGTTCGGTTCTCTCTCAGAGTCGGCCGGTTCAGCTGTGACTAAAAAATTCGTTACTTGAAGGCTTGTTTTTGTCTAGCGTAAAATTAATAAAATTCCCATATGTTGTTTTTATACTACTACTTGCCCACTTCTCCTTCATTCAGTAGAATCCGTTCCAATGTGGGACATAGATGTCCAAGTCTTACTCACATGTGTTACTTTTATGTTACTCCTTTCCCACTTCTCCTTCATTCAGTTCTGATGTGGGACATGGCGTCTAACTTATTTTTCCACATTATTTTTATGTATATATTGGTTAATGATATGATCATGTAATTGGGCCAGAAATTCGGAAATATAATAGAGTAGATCTGAAGGGTTCCAATCTGTCGGGCAAGGACTAAATTTCATGTTCTAATTAAGTTCTATGAATTTTTTTTTTTTTTTTTTGATAAGTAAAAATGTATTATAAAGCGTTCAAAAGGGGAACGCATCCCAAGAGCTGTACAAGAACCAAGAGCAAAAAAGCAAAGAAAGCTTAGGGATCCAAAGACCCCAAAAAGTCCAAAAACTCCTCAACGGAAGAACAATCTCTCCCCATGCCCTAACTAAAAAGAGAACAAATAATAGAATATAATACTTAAGAACCCCAATGGGTAACTCCTCCCCAGTAAAGGATCTTCTATTGCGTTCTTTCCACAGACACCACCAAATGCATAAGGGAGTCACCCTCTAGAAGTCGCAAACTCGAGCCCCCACCCTCTGTCCCCTCCAAATATCGATAAGACCTCGTGAGGTCCGAGGCATAACCCACTGAACGCCAAAAAGACCCATCATAAGGCTCCAACAGTCATGGGCCACTGGGCAGTGCAATAGAAGGTGGTCCACAGACTCTCCATCGGTCATATACAGACAACACCGATTAACAATAACATGTCTCCTCTTCCTCAAATTGTCCAGAGTCAGGATCTTGTCCCAAGCAGCAGTCCAAGCAAAAAACGTCACCTTAACAGG